AACCATGGGGTAAACCAAATAAATTACTGGCTAAGTGTCTTTTTGGTAGTACAAAACGTCAGGTTAATTTCAATATTGTAACTTTTTTTAGTGCTTGTGAAAAAAATTGTTATACAAATTTTATGTACCTGTATCTTAACAAGGGATGCTCCAATGAAATTTCTTTATATGAAAGATCCTATCTTTTTTTCGATGAGGAATCACCTCCTTGAATGTTTTACACTTATTTAGTTACACCCTATATTTTCAAATCATCTGCAGAAAATACCTTATTACAATCGATATAATTACTGAGGTCATTAAGAAATAATAAGAACAGAAGTGGTCCGAGATTCGACCCCTGAAGTACTCCAGATGGAGGATTGTAATAAAAAGAATCATAGCCGTTATAGGATACAAACTGTTCACGTTGAAGTAAGTAGGATTTAATTAAAAGTACTGCTTGAATAAACGGCTTGCTCCAAGCCGTTTATTCACCCTTCGAAGCTTGATACCAAATAGTTGTTGGACTACAGTAGGGATGAACTATGGAATCTAACAGATCGTCTCACAGGTCACCGTCATTTGAATCATCATATGTCGAGACTCGGACTGTCGGAAGACAGTGTGTGTCGTCTCTATTTGGAAAATGATGAAACAGCAAAGCACATACTTTGTGCCTGCTCCGCTGGGGACCAAATCAGGTTTTCAGAGTTTAGAACTCTTACCATCTGACCTGAAAGACCACTCACCATACGGCTTCGTTTAAGAAACTGGGTTTATTTGGTCGAGTGTGAATAGGTGCGAGCCACAATAAACCCTTGCGGGTTGCGGTGGAGGGTCGAATAGACCCACTCACTTTGGACCTAACCTTCGTCTACTGCTGTGGTCGACATTTTCAAAGGCGATGTAGTAACGAGCGCAATACCACATCGCCTTTAAAAATGTCTACCGCAGCAGTAGACGAAACGTCAGGCATGAAAACCTGCAGAACACGGCCAGAAAACCCGGAAAATAGCCTTCATAAAGTCATCTCCTGCCGTGAAAGTTCACATTCTTCAATCATGAACTATGTTTATATACGTTCAAAAAGACAGGTGAAGCATGATAGAATAAGAAATACTTGAACATAGTTTACAGACCAAATCATAATTTTTCCAAAATTATTTAGGACAATAAATACAAAATGTCAGTGTTACATACAGAAAAAATAAGCTGACTTGTGATTCCTATTCCAACTTTTATATTGGTCATATAGGAAGAACATTTTCTGATGGAACAAAAGAGCACAATGAAGTTTTTGAAGGAAAGAGTAATTCAATTTGGTGGAGGGGTATTTCATACATCTGGAAGAGAACTATAAAATATCCTTCAGAATGACTGGTATATCAATAGGTTTAAAAATTCAGAATCATTGCTTAACACGTGGTTAAAATTCAATAGTTATTTTGTGAATTTGTGTTCTGAAGATGAAGATGGTAATTCGTTGGAAGAGTTAATTGATCTTCATTTCTAAAGAGATTTTTCATAAAGCAAAACAGTTATGGCATAAATAATCATCGAATGGGCTTATTTCATGCTATTGAAAACGATACTGGTTTGCTTATAGACTGATTGATTTAGGGGTATTTTGTACTTATCAAGCTTAATCGGTCCCAAGATCTCTTTATATTTGCAGAAAAAAAAAAACAATTCGAAAATAAAACCAATAAAATTCATCGTGTCTACAGCGGTGTTGGCGAGTGTATTGGTTTATAATATCTAATAACAGAACTAAAATATAGTGATCCAATTAGACAGACGCCATTTTTGTTGTTATTGTTGTCAACTTGGTGTGACTATAATTGTTACAGTCCGATTTGTTTGTTACAATTTTTTTAATTAAAGAACATTTCCTTTTATAAAAGGTAGGTTAGGTCATTTACAACCATAGTTTTCGTGTACATTTTATTTCATGTTGAGAATTTTTTCATTTATTCAAAAGTTAACGGGTTCATATACACTTCCTTAAATTTTTGCGATATCAACATGAAAATGTCTACTGCTGGAAATATTTTAAAAATAATGTTTTTATTGCGTTTTGTGTTATTTGGATCCCATATTTAATTCATTTTCTCTTCCAATGCATTTCTTGCACTTGTTTCTTAGATTTAGTTGTCGAAAGTGACTGTGATTTTATTTTGAATCACAAATGAATTCGTGAATGTTTATACACTCCGAGAATTTTATGATTTGGCAATGTTGATTATTTGTACTGTTCCTATTGGCCAATCGAAGAAGAAGCGGGACTAGGCCCGTGACATAAATAATCATTGATCGGGCTTATTTCATGCTATTGAAAACGATACTGGTTTGCTTATGGACTGATTGATTTAGGGGTATATTGTACTTATCAAGCTTAATCGGTCCCAAGATCTCTTTATATTTGCAGAAAAAAAAAACAATTCGAGAATAAAACCAATAAAATTCATCGTGTCTACAGCGGTGTTGCCGAGTGTATTGGTTTATAATATCCAATCACAGAACTAAAATATAGTGATCCAATCAGACAGACGCCATTTTTGTTGTTATTGTTGTCAACTTGGTGTGACTACAACTGTTACAGTCCAATTTGTTTGTCACAATTTTCTAATTAAAGAACGTTTCCTTTTATAAAAGATAGGTTAGGTCATTTCCAACCATAGTTTTCGTGTACATTTTATTTTATGTTGAGAATTTTTTCATTTATTCAAAAGTTAACGGGTTCATATACACTTACTTAAATTTCTGTGATATCAACATGAAAATGTCTACTGCTGGAAATATTTTCAAAATAATGTTTTGTGTTATTTGGATCCTATGTTTAATTCATTTTCTTTTCCAATGCATTTCATGAACTTGTTTCTTAGATTTAGTTGTCGAAAGTGACTGTGATTTTATTTTGAATCACGAATGAATCCGAAACTGTTTATACACTCCGTACATTTTATGATTTGGCAATGTTGATTATTTGTACTGTTCCTATTGGCCAATCGAAGAAGAAGCGGGACTAGGCCCGTGACGTCACGGGCCTCGAAAATCCGATTTTTAATAATTAATTACGGGGTAACAAGGGTATTTAGAAAGCTGAAACAGTGCACTGTTTTTCAATTTGAAATTACTATCAAATGAACTGTAAAACAAAAATCATGAAACAAGCCCATTCAGTAATTTAGTTACTTATTTGAAAACGTTATTTCAATTCTATTCATTTATCAGTTTCGGGAACACTGGATTTAGTTTATTTCATTATGCAGAGTAAAACATGTATTGAAGTTAATTGAACTGTTTTTGTGAAGATCTGGCAATATAGAGTGTTTTCCATATGTTTAAATGATCATGAAAATGTCAAATAAATCAACTAACCATTCTGGGTCAGCTTCGTAGAACAAATATTGCTGGATATGCTGAAAGAATCTTTGTTCGACGCACTCAAGCCAGGAACCTGAGGTTTTTCCTTGTTCTCCTTGACATCCTTGGTCGTAGAAGGCAACGAGAAATAGTCCAAGCTAG